AAAATTCTCCTGACATTTTAAAAAAATATCCGCACATATAATGTAATTTTGGACTGTTTTTTCCGTGCAAAACCTAAGATTTAGAGCCTGAAACGCGTTATACAGGCGAATTTGAACTAAGTCCCTATTCTTTTGGAAATGGTCGGAAAAAATTTCTTGCATTCCTAACGTCCCTCTCAGGTGTTAGAGGTGCAAGAAAAATACTCCCGACCTTTTTAAAACAAATCCGCACATTATACGTATAAAGTAATTTTGGTCGTTTTTTTCCGTGCAAAACCTATCATTTAGAGCCTGAAACGCTATAGAGGCGAATTTTAAGTAAGTCCCTATTTCTTTTGGAAATGGTCGGAAATAATTTTCTTGCATTCCTAACGTCCCTCTCATGTGTTAGAAGTGCAAGAAAAATACTCCCGACCTTTTTAAAAAAAATCCGCACATTATACGTATAAAGTAATTTTGGTCGTTTTTTTCCATGCAAAACCTATCATTTAGAGCCTGAAACGCGTTATAGAGGGGAATTTTAAGTAAGTCGCTATTTCTTTTGGAAATGGTCGGAAATAATTTTCTTGCATTCCTAACGTTCGTCTGAGGTGTTAGAAGTGCAAGAAAAATACTCCCGACCTTTTAGAAAATATCCGCACATTATACGTGATTTTGGTCGTTTATTTCCGTGCAAAACCTATCATTTAGAGCCTGAAACGCGTTATAGAGGCGAATTTTAAGTCGCTATTAATTAATAAAATATATTTTGGAAATGGTCGGGAAAAATTTTCTTGCATTTATAACGTCCCTCTGAGGTGTTAGAAGTGCAGAAAAATACTCCCGACCTTTAAAAAAAATCCGCACATTATACGTATAAAGTAATTTTGGACGGTTTTTTCCGTGCAAAACCTATCATTTAGAGCCTCAAACGCGTTATACAGGCGAATTTTAACAAAGTGTCTATTTATTTTGGAAATGGTCGGAAATAATTTCCTTGCATTCCTAACGTCTCTCTGAGGTGTTAGAAGTCCAAAAAAATTATTTCCGAGCCTTCAAACAAAATCCGCACATTATACGTATAATGTAGTTTTGGACGGTTTTTTTTCGCTCAAAACCGTTGATTTAGGGCATGAAACGCGTTATACAGGCTAATTTTAACACAGTCACTATTTCTTTTGGAAATGGTCGGAAATGATGTTCTTGCATTCCTAACGTCTCTCTGAGGTGTTAGGAGTGCAAGAAAATCATTTCGGAGCTTTAAAACAAAATCCGCACATTATACGTAAACCTTGTTAAAATTAGCCTGTATAACGCGTTTCAGGCCCTTAATCAACGGTTTTGAGCGAAAAAAAAACGGTTTTTTCCGTGCAAAACCTATGATGTAGGCCCTGAAACGCGTTGTACAAGCTAATTTTAACAAAGTCAGTATTTCTTTTGGAAATGGTTGGAAATGATGCTTTTTGCATTCCTAACGTCTCTCTGAGGTGTTAGGAGTGCAAGAAAATCATTTCGGAGCTTTAGAACAAAATCTGCACATTATACGTGTAATGTAATTTTGGTCGGTTTTTTTCCGTGCAAAACCTAACATTTAGAGCCTCAAACGAGTTTTACAGGCGAATTTTAACAAAGTCGCTACTTCTTTTGGAAATGGTCGGACATAATTTTCTTGCATTCCTAACGTCCCTCTGAGGTGTTAGAAGTGCAAGAAAATTATTTCCGACCATTTCCAAAAGAAATAGCGACTTTGTTAAATATCGCCTGTATAACGCGTTTCAGGCTCTAAATCTTAGGTTTTGCACGGAAAAAAACGTCCAAAATTACATTATACGTATAATGTGCGGATTTTTTTTAAAAGGTCGGAAATAATTTTCTTTGCACTACTAACACCTTAGAAGGACGTTAGGAATGCAAGAAAATTATTTCCGACCATTTCCAAAAGAAATAGCTCTCACTCAGGAACGCATGCTCCGGGGAGCGTTGCGCCTCTCCAAGTTGTCTCCCAGCCAGTTCTGTCCTGCGCCCTCTGCCAGGCTGTGGCTACATCAAGGCCCACTGTGCTGAAGTCTGCATTCAGCTGGTCTCCCCACCTACGTCTGGGTCTGCCTCTGGGTCTGGACCAGCCTGCAGGCGTGGTTGCCCTCAGTAGACTGGCAGCTTCCAGGGGGGGGTCGGCTCTGGCTAGGTGGCCAAAGAGTCGCAGGCGGGCCTGTCTGATCTTATGGGAGACGGGCGGCTGACCAGTTCTTTGGCGTACCGTGGAGTTGGAGACGAAGTCATACCAGCGGAAGCCAAGGATCCTCCGCAGGCACTTTTGGTCAAAGGTGTCCAGATGGCGCTCCTCTGCACCATAGAGTAGGACAGAGAGCACTAAGCTGTTATAGAGCCTGATCTTGGTGTCAGTGGAGATCCGGGGATTGGACCAGATGTGGCTAAGACTAGCCATTGCTGCAGACGAGCGGCCGATACGGATCTTGATGTCGGCGGTGTTTCTACAGTCGGAGGAGATGGTACTTCCTAAGTAGGTGAACTTATCCACCACTTCTACGGTGTTGGACTCGATCATGAGGTTGGTAGGAGGGAGTTGGTAGTCACTCAGACTCTGGACCTTTGTTTTCTGCCAGCTGATCTGCAGTCCAAGAGGTCTGGTTTCTGAGTCCATGATTTGGAGTGCAAGGTGAAGGGCCTGCATGATCTCTGCAAGAATGGCCACATCATCGGCGTAGTCAAGGTCCGAGATGGTAACGTTCCCGAAGCTTGCGCCACACGCACTCTGAAAGATGGTCCTTCCCATGACAAAGTCTATGGCAGTGTTGAAGATGGTGGGGGCCAGGACACAACCTTGATCACACCACTGTTGATGTTGAAGCTGGCGGAGGTCTGCCCATTTACCCTCACACTAGATGTTGTGGTAGAGTACAGGAGGGAGAGGAGGTTCAGGAGCTTTGTGGGGACTCCCAAGATCTTGAGGATTTTCCACAAGGCTGGGCGATCCACAGAGTCAAAGGCCTGTTTCAGGTCAACATACGCAGCAAAAAGTGGCTTCCTGTACTCCCTTCTCAGCTCTGCGAGTGTCCTGAGAGTAAGGATCCTATCCACTGTGGAGCGGCCTGGAGTGAAGCCGCTCTGCTCCCTGCGTTGTTTGCTAAGGAGCAGTGGTCGCAGTCTCGCCAGGATGATGTGAGCAAGCACCTTCCCTGGGACGCTGAGGAGGGTTATGCCTCTGTATTTGCCGCAGTTGTCCTTGGGGTCCTTCTTCCAGAAGGGTAGAATGATCCCGTGGAGCCAGTCCATGGGGACAGTCTCTGTTCTCCATATGGCGGTGATCAGGACGTGGAGCTGGGCTGCTACCGCAGGGCCACCTTTCAGCAACAACTCTGGCGGGATGCCGTCTACCCCTGCTGCTCGACCAGGCTTGAGCATGCCAATCGCCTCCAACACTTCCTCCTGTGTAGGGGGGTCAGCAGAGATGGAATCGTCCTCTGCAGCCTCGGCTGCTAGGGATTCCAACTGTGGTGAGGGTGGTGGAGGTGGTCGGTTGAGCAGGTTGCAGAAGTGTTCTCTCCAGCGGTCCAGCTGCTGTTCTGGAGTATCCAGATCAGACCCATCCAGGGCCTTTACACACGCTGTGGGTGGAGTAACTTTCCCTGAGAGTGTTCTGAGGGTTTTGTACAGAGTGCCTTGATTCCCCGTGCGTGCAGCGGTCTCAGCCGTAGTCGCCAGGTTGTCTAGCCACCGTTGCTTGTCCCTGCTGAGAAGCTGATTCCTCCTTGAGTTCAGCCTCCTGTACTCCTCACGGTTCCCTTGCAGACGGGCTTCTCTTCTTGCCTCAACTACTTGTAGCGTCTCTTCTGACAGGAGATCCTTCTTTCTGCTCTTTTGTAACCTAACACCTTAGTTGCAGAGTTTGTTAGGCCTTCCTTCAGATCTTCCCAGATTTTCTCTGTGTCGTCATCTGCATCCGCCAGCACAGAGAAGCGGTTCTGCAGATCCAACTGGAAGCGGTCAACCACCTCCTGTGACTGGAGTCTGGCCACATCATACTTGCGCAGTTTATGCTGAGTTGCAGTCTTCTCTAGACGAAGAGCAACGGTCAGGGCTAGAAGTCTGTGGTCCGTGTTCCCGAATTCTGCACTACGGAGAACCCGGCAGTCAGAGGAGGAGTGCCAGCGTGACGTGGTGAGGATGTGGTCCACCTCCTTAGTGGTGTGGTGGTCGTTACTGATCCAGGTCATGCTGTGGATTCTCTTGTGGGGAAAGAAGGAGCGTTCCGTGCGCAGACTGTGGACCAGTACTCCAGGAGTCGTCTGTCGTTATCGTTGCAGTCACCGACTCCATGGGGGCCAAGACAGTGCTCGAATCCGCGTCTGTCCGAGCCTGTTGTGGCGTTGAGGTCTCCCAGTACCCAAAAGATATCATGCCTTGAGATGCCACTTGTGAGGGCTGACAGCTTTGTGTAAAATGAGTCCTTGTCCTCCTCACTGGCTACTTCTGTGGGGGCATAGGCGACTATGATGGAGATGTTACCATACTTATGGCGAAGGCGAGCCAACGGAAGTCTGTTGTCTACCGGCTTCCAGTAGACAAGAGCACGATGCGCTTGAGGGGCGAGGGCAAGGGCTACCCCTTGATGACTTATGCCATCATTCCGCCCAGACCAGAGATAAGTAAATCCGTTGGATGCATGGGTGCCTGAACCAGGCCATCGGACTTCAGTAAGTCCTGCTAGTGTGATGTCAAGACGTGAGAGCTCGTTTGATACCAGCTGCGCTGAGCCGTCCTTACTCATGGACAGTACATTCCAAGTAGCAATTTTCATGATGTTGCCATTTTTCCGTTTGCGTAAGTCCATCCGTTCCTGGGTCAATGAGCAATTTTGGTCAGTCCTACTGCAATTTTCAACTTGTTGAGGTTTCGTCGCAATGGTTTTTTACATGGTGGGTTGCTGGCCCTACGCACAACCTCGGCTGTATTTCTATACCGCCCATCAGAGACTGCGGCGGTGCAGGTGCTATTAGCCAGCAAAAGCTCCCATGAGAACCGTCCCACCATGGTTGAACCTGCCAGGAACATGGGGGGGGGGCCTCGCGGCGCTACGCCGATGGCTCACCAACCTGCTCCCGGTGGTATCGCAACCCAGGGTCATTGCTATGGCTGTTGCCCGGGGAATACCACCAGGAGGTTAGCACTCTGACTTAAACCCCAGAAAGAAATAGCGACTTTGATTTAGACCCTGAAACGCGTTATACAAGCTGATTTTAACAAAGTCACTATTTCTTTTGGAAACGTTCGGAAATGATGTTGTTGTATTTCTAACGTCTCTTTGAGGTGTTAGGAGTGCAAGAAATTCATTACTGAGCTTAAAAACAAAATCCGCACATTATACGTATAAATTGTAAAAATTAGCCTGTATTAACGCGTTTCAGGCCATAAATCAACGGTCTTGAGCAAAAAAAAACGCCCAAAATTTTGGACGGTTTTTTCCGTGCAAAACCTATGATTTAGACCCTGAAACGCGTTATACAAGCTGATTTTAACAAAGTCACTATTTCTTTTGGAAATGGTCGGAAATGATGTTCTTGCATTCCTAAAGTCTCTCTGAGGTGTTAGAAGTGCAAGTAAAATACTCCCGACCTTTTAAAAAATATCCGCACATTATACGTATAATGTAATTTTGGTCGGTTTTTTCCGTGCAAAACCTAAGATTTAGAGCCTGAAACGCGTTATACAGGCGAATTTTAACAAAGTCGCTATTTCTCTTAAAAATGGTCGGGAATAATTTTCTTGCATTCCTAATGTCCCTCTGAGGTGTTAGAAGTGCAAGAAAATGCTCCCGACCTTTAAAAAAATCCGCACATTATACGTATAATGTAACTGTGGACGAATTTTTTCGCTCAAAACCATTGATTTAGGGCCTGAAACGCGTTATACAGGCGAATTTTATCAAAGTCGCTATTTCTTTTGGAAATGGTCGGAAATGATGTTCTTGCATTCCTAACGTTTCTCTGAGGTATTAGGAGTGCAAGAAAATCATTTCGGAGCTTTAAAACAAAATCTGCACATTATACGTATATTTTGTTAAAATTAGCCTGTATAACGCGTTTCAGGCCCTAAATCAACGTTTTGAGCGAAAAAAAAACGCCAAAAATTTTGGACGGTTTTTTCCGTGCAAAACCTATGATTTAGACCCTGAAACGCGTTATACAAGCTGATTTTAACAAAGTCACTATTTCTTTTGGAAACGTTCGGAAATGACGTTGTATTTCTAACGTCTCTTTGAGGTGTTAGGAGTGCAAGAAATTCATTACTGAGCTTAAAAACAAAATCCGCACATTATACGTATAAATTGTAAAAATTAGCCTGTATTAACGCGTTTCAGGCCATAAATCAACGGTCTTGAGCAAAAAAAAAAACGCCCAAAATTTTGGACGGTTTGTTCCGTGCAAAACCTATGATTTAGACCCTGAAACGCGTTATACAAGC